ACCGAAATATGGGAACTTACAGATTCTTTTCTCCAATGTTTTGGTGGGGATTGAGGATTGTCTGGTTTCAGATTGGCGGTCTAAATACTTCCTAGAGTTCGAGAAGTTTCTCTCCTTTTGCCTTTACAATGAAGTTTTGCGAGTCCATGGGTCCTCATGCGGCTCTACATAATCTAACCGTCCACGTGCTTTTCCTTACATAATATCAACGGTAGATGCTAGTGAATGATTGGTAATAGTTTTCAGTGCTAATTTAATTTCGGCCGGAAGAAATTACTTTGGTCAACGGTTAACCGCTGTTTCGTTACTCAAGTATTATACAAGATCGAACTAATAAAATTAATCTATTAATTATTACCCTTGTCAACAAAAAAAAAAAATATTATACAAACTCTTAACTTAATTCTGAAAAAATTTTTTGGTTTATTTCCTAAAGTTTTTAAAATTTGTTTTAAGTTTGTCCTTTTATTAAAAAAAATTGATCTGTCAATTACTCGATAGTAAAATATTATTACTAGATAGCAAAATGTTGTTACTAGATGTAAAAAACTATTATTTAATAGCAAAATGTTGTTATTTGATGACTACATATCACGTTAATAATAGACATATAAGTTAATTTTGAATAAAGAAATCAACTTAAAGTTAAATTTAGAAATTTTAGGGATTAAATTAGAGATTTTTTTGATTTAGAAACCAATTTAAAAATTTATATAATAATTAGAGGATTAAATTGAGAGTTTAACCATAAGAAAACTCATATTGAGTTGGAATGTCATACCATACAGACGTGGGGAGTTAAAAGATGAGTGGTGCTTAAAACTGACAAAAATTCACTCGATCCATTAATTCGATTCTAATTTGATCTGTAAAAAATGGGTTAGAGTTTACATATTTCAACCCGCAACCCGTAAATAATTCGTATTACTAACCCGTACGGGATCACGGGTCGGGTTAGGGTTAACCCGCGGGTTAATGGGTTGACTCGTTTGTTTTATTTTTTATTATTATTTTTAAATATTATACTTATTATTCTTAATTAATTTTTCTATTGGTAACTCTTTCTATTAATTCATATTCCTTAATTTCTAAAGAAAGAAGAAGAAATTATGATAAGTTTGATCTAATTACCAAAGTATTTTTTTTTTTTGTATTAACAATTACCCAAATATCATGAATGAAATGATAATGCAACTAAAAATATTAAAAGATGTAATGTTAGGATATAAACATAATAACTTAATGAAAGATGTTCTTGGAATAGCAATTTCATCATTAAAAAAATGAATTAAACTACTTGATAATGTTTCAAGATGATTATAAAATTAAAACTTTATTTTCTAAGAAATTTAAATATTTTACGTTTAATATTTTTATTGTTAATCAATTT